CAGTGCACAGTTTTATTCTATCTTCTTGCCGATTTAGAGATTTTGTCTGAGATGTTGGCTTTGCTATATGATACTGCAATGTCGTTGTCCTGGATGTAAATGATAACATAACTGTAGTTATGAAAGATAATCCAGTAATTAAACACTTACAGAACAATACTTATCTTTAAAGTCAATTATACAATGTATGCTATTTCTCATGTCACTATCAATACATTGCTATTTGTATGTGTATCATGTTTGGGAGAGGCATTCAGATAAGCAAAATGTTCTTGTTTGCCTATCCCTCCACTTTATGGAAATAAATATGTTAATATCATCTTTATATCAAACAAATGAAGTTCATTTTAATTAAAAAATATCATGAAACTAAGACAAGACTTTTTCTTCAAGACTTGTTATCCTTATTTCATTAACGTATTAAAAGTTATCTTACCACATACAAGTTACCTTTATTGCCTGTATGATGACGGGCAAACCAATGTATACTTAAAAGAGTGAGTGATTTATGAACCCACGACCAGAAGATCAGAAGAACTATCATCAAATTCTGCCCAACGACCCCGCGTCCCCAGTCAATACTACACCCTACTTCCTACATATTCCGCGAGCACGGGTACAGTGGTGACAGACCAAGAAACATAAGCAGGGCAAACCTGGATTCGAACGCACGATCATTGGTTTCTGGCTTGTCCAAGGGAGCAACTCTGCACAACGAATTGCGGCGCCTTAGATTACGAGGCCATTTGTGCCACTGGTTGTGTAAAGATGAGATTAATCTGCCCAACCGCATGTCAGAAACACGTGCAAAGTCAAGTCGAGTGTTCACTTAACAAAACACCCAGGGGAACATATGATAAGGTAAGATAGGGAATTGTATCTGACATCATTTTTGTCATTGATGTTTCGAATTTGAAAATGTCCTTCACATGTCTACCATAAAATCTTTGAAACCTTTTCTAAAGGCAATGAATGGCGTTATCCTGATCCAACACATTTTTAGCACCAGTCGTATCACGCTTATTAAAGTCTTCATAGAAAGAGTGAGTAAGTGAGTATGGCTTTAGCAATATTTCCAGCAATATCACGGCGGGGGACACTAGAAATGGGCTTCACACATTGTACCCATGTGGGGAATCGAACCCGGGTCTTCGGCGTGACGAGCATGCTCGAATGTACCTCCGAAGTTCTGAAATTTAGACACCAAAATGCAACAGCTGGAGCTGTAGGGACATTGCTTGACAAAAAGGGAAAGTTGACCATTGGAAAGTTGAAGTCTTCCCTCTTGTCCCTCACGGTATTTGACATTCAGATGTCGTCAAGCGCGTTGAAACTTTAAGTTTGTTAAAACGAAATCAATTACTTTGGTATCTTGTTTAAGGCGACATGACCTTTCATGATGTAATTTAAAGTATTATGATGTAATATTACTCCACATTACTCTTGTGTCGAAAAATGTAGATGACTTCTGGGACCTCAAGTTAATTAGTTTATGCCGTACATATAATTGGGACCGCCTGAAGACGGCGTGTAGGAGTTTCACTGCAAACACGGTAAGGTTTGACCATCCTGAAAGTGACATATTATATAAACCGATTCCAGGATGGTTAAACCTATATATAAACAGTAAACTACGTTTATAACGATCACGCTTATAACGAACTGACCAATATAACGAACATATTTTTCAGTCCCGCCATTTGTGGTATAAAGCTGTATATATGCTTATAACGCTCTACGGTTATTACGTCCCTTTGAGTTCGTAATAACCGTTGTTTACTGTATATACGAGAAGCATTCGTCTGTGTCGTCCAAGCAGTCTAACACAGGGTGTAGAAGAGGCTCGCGATCAACATGGTATGGGTTGTGTTAACTATCTAACGTACCTTGTACACTGAACAAGGGGCTGTCGTAGGCAGACAGTCGTCTGATCCTCTCATTAATACTGAAGGGTTCACGTTTGTGTAGACTGCCTGAAGAGTCTTAATGTTGAAACTAAAGAGATGGAGTTTGTGTTTGTGCAGACAGCAGAAAGTAAAGGATTTAAGCTTGCACATGCAATTCGATAGAGGCCTAATAAATGAGTCACGGATGTAAATCTACACAGACAAGTTGAGAGCTTGAGACCTCATAGAGCGAGGTTGTGCCCTCGCTGCAAAGAACAAGTACTTACACTCTAAATATACGCCATAGATGATTTACAGATAAAACAAATTGATAATAATTGGGCTTTTCTTGCAATTTACCGAACAGTAATAGCAGGAAATAAGGACTTTCGAGGGTTTTAGTGTTTTACTCAGGACATGGCAACCATTCCTCGCCCACGTGAATGTTCCTTGGCCCCAGTTGCGTCTGGGTGTCTGGTCTTATCAATGAATCCTTGTACCGGGGAACCGTGACGTCTTCAACTGATAGGTACATTTATCACTAACCTGTGAGACAAACGTCACATTTGATTAAAGTCACTTGTAGCCAGTTGTCTTCTGAGAGATGTAAGTTTATTTTTGAAAGTTGGTTTAATGCGAGACGAATATTCGGCCAATCACTGATCAGACAGAGAAAACAAGGTGACCTGTATCCTCAGTTTAATGAAGTACCAGTGATAGTTTCTGTTCCTCCAAGCGCTTGGACGGATATTTCCGATATATGTTGGAATTTGCTTTCCAGTGCACGCTCATCTGAAACAGGACTCACTGGGGTGTGTACAAACGCTTGACTCTAATTAAGTGTTACACGTGTCAGTTTTATGCATCCTTGTGCCTAGTGGCGATTCCGTGGTAAAATAGGTCTCCAGTAAACTATGCTGGTCGTAATAGGCCACTTAAAGTGACTTAAAGGCATTCTGCCTTGACGACGTGAGACGTTTCTTATGATACCAAACACTGGTTTTTCCAGCCTAGACATGATTGTTTACAGGACAGGCCGCCTTAAAAAGCTGGAATACTGCTGACTGCGGCGTTAAACAAACAAACAAACAAACAATTTGTTCTTGTAAATCATATCACGATGAAAAGTATTCATATATATATCTCTGACACATTAAATAATACATCGAACAATTTCCAAAATCTTATATTCAGATTATATTCTGTGTCTTACTTGAAATCATACAGTGTCAACTAAAGACAAATAGCAAACATCAATATGTGTTTGAACTTAGAAATAGAAACCTGTAGGTTTGTAGCTGGTTTCCATCGTGACTCCTGTAGCTAGACAACTTCCCACATAACTTTCGTTATAGGTAACATCTGTACACCTCCATGGAGGTATTACCCACAGGATGTAGCAACGTAATTAGTTAATGCAATCTTGCATGATTTGTAGGAGTTTATGCATTGAATACTGATTAATGGAAACATATATCTCTCCATAATAAGGATAAGTATATGTATGGACAACTTCTTTATCACAAATAGGAGCGACGTTTCGTTGTGGGTACGAACACCGTTATCAAGTAAGTGATGTATAGAGTATATTTGACAATTATATATACAGGTAGGAGGCTGTGTTTATACAGAACAGTAGAAATGGGAAGTAGTTACGCTTGACAACGGTGTTCGAACCTACACCGAAACGTCGCTCCTAATTGTCATAAAAAAGTTGCTCATCCATATATCTTATCCTTTCTTAGTACTCCAACTTCTAAATGCCCCTCAAAGAAGTAATGACTCTCATAGCAAGGCCTAACGTCAACGTAATAATGTACATAGTTTCAGGTGACACATTGGACAAGGAAATATGAAGCGAAATAAGACGACACGGAAGAGAGCAGCGAATGTAGTGGAATGCGCCGCTGACGAAAGTATACAAATGTCCCGTACGGTGCATCATTGGAAGTTAGAATTCCGAGATGGGTTGTGATTTGAGACTTGTCCACAGGAAAAAAATCGCATAGATTATTCTTCTTATTTAACGTTGATATCAGCACGAGGTTTATGGCGCAACCTTCATCAGTGTATCGAGTTGATGTAATGAACAAGGTTTCGTACTAATATCTGTTAAAAGGAACCGCCTGGGTTCGGCTGCCTGCGGAGTGGAATGTCAGTCTCTCGATCTCCTAACCAGGTCATACAAGACACGTTAAATGATGGTACTTGTTAATACACACTCTGGTGCTCGGTATTAAAGGGCTAAAACAAGGACCGGTCGGCTCAAAATCAGTGTGCCGGGTCTGAGTGGGTTATCCATGTTAAACTACGGCATGGCTTCATAGTAGACACTATAAAACTGATATTAGTCCGGACTAGTACAAGCAGCCACACACACATGAACGCACCTTCCTAAATCAGTGCAATAATCTTGAAGTTGAACCCCATGTCACCTCACCTGTCACTTCCCCTGTCACCTCCCCTGTCACCTCACCCGTCACCTCACCTGTCACCTCACCTGTCACCTCACGACACCTCGCCTGTCACCTCCCCTGTCATCTCACCTGTCACCTCGCCTGTCACCTCACGTAACCTCGCCTGTCACCTCCCCTGTCATCTCACCTGTCATCTCACCTGTCACCTCCCCTGTCATCTCAACTGTCACCTCGCCTGTCACCTCCCCTGTCACCTCGCCTGTCACCTCACCTGTCACCTCCCCTGTCACCTCCCCTGTCACCTCCCCTGTCACCTCGCCTGTCACCTCCCCTGTCACCTCGCCTGTCACCTCCCCTGTCACCTCGCCTGTCACCTCCCCTGTCACCTCCCCTGTCACCTCCCCTGTCACCTCACCTGTCACCTCGCCTGTCACCTCTCCTGTCACCTCACCTGTCACCTCCCCTGTCATCTCACCTGTCACCTCCCCTGTCATCTCACGTCACCTCGCCTGTCACCTCCCCTGTCACCTCGCCTGTCACCTCCCCTGCCACCTCACCTGTCACGTCGCCTGTCACCTCCCCTGTCACCTCGCCTGTCACCTCACCTGTCACCTCACCTGTCACCTCGCCTGTCACCTCTCCTGTCACCTCACCTGTCACCTCCCCTGTCATCTCACCTGTCACCTCCCCTGTCATCTCACGTCACCTCGCCTGTCACCTCCCCTGTCACCTCGCCTGTCACCTCCCCTGTCACCTCCCTTGTCACCTCGCCTGTCACCTCCCCTGTCATCTCACCTGTCACCTCCCCTGTCACCTCACCTGTCACCTCGCCTGTCACCTCCCCTGTCACCTCGCCTGTCACCTCCCCTGTCACCTCGCCTGTCACCTCCCCTGTCACCTCCCCTGTCATCTCGCCTGTCACCTCCCCTGTCACCTCCCCTGTCACCTCCCCTGTCACCTCGCCTGTCACCTCCCCTGTCACCTCGCCTGTCACCTCCCCTGTCACCTCGCCTGTCACCTCGCCTGTCACCTCACCTGTCACCTCCCTTGTCACCTCGCCTGTCACCTCACCTATCACCTCGCCTGTCACGTCGCCTGTCACCTCACCTGTCACCTCGCCTGTCACCTCCCCTGTCACCTCGCCTGTCACCTCCCCTGTCATCTCACCTGTCATCTCCCCTGTCATCTCACGTCACCTCGCCTGTCACCTCACCTGTCACATCACCTGTCACCTCCCCTGTCACATCACCTGTCAGCTCACGTCACCTCGCCTGTCACCTCCCCTGTCATCTCACCTGTCACCTCCCCTGTCACCTCCCCATCACCTCACCTGTCACCTCCCCTGTCACATCACATGTCACCTGCCCTGTCACCTCACCTGTCACCCCACGTCACCTCGCCTGTCACCTACCCTGTCATCTCACCTGTCACCTCCCCTGTCACCTCCCCTGTCATCTCACCTGTCATCTCACCTGTCACCTCCCCTGTCACCTCACCTGTCACCTCGCCTGTCTCCTCACGTCACCTCGCCTGACACCTCCCCTGTCATCTCACCTGTCACCTCACCTGTCACCTCGGCTGTCATCTCACGTGACCTCGCCTGTCACCTCACCTGTCACCTCCCGTGTCACCTCACGTCTCCTCGACTGTCACCTCCCCTGTCACATCACGTGTCACCTCACGTCTCCTCGACTGTCATCTCCCCTGTCACATCACGTGTCACCTCACCTGTCATCTCACCTGACACCCACATTGTCATCTCACCTGACATTTCACCTGTCACCTGACCTGTCACTTCGCCTGTAACCTCGCCTGTCACATCACCTGTCACCTAACCTGTCATCCCCCCCCCCCCCCCCCCTGTCATCTCACCTGTCATTTCACCTGTCACTACACCTGTGCCCTCCCCTGTCACCTCGCCTGTTACCACAACTGTCACTTCAACTGTCACCTCCCCTGTCACCTCACCTGTCACTTCAACTGTCACATCACCTGTCACCTCACCTGTCACTTCAACTGTCACCTTCCCTGTTACCTCACATGTTACCTCAACTGTCACTTCAACTGTCACCTCCCCTGTCAACTCACCTGTCACTTCACCTGTCACCTCTCCTGTCACTTCAACTGTCACCTCACCTGTCACTTGAACTGTCACCTCCCCTGTCACCTCGCCTCTCACTTCACCTGTCACCTCGAGTGTCACTTCAACTGTCACCTCGTCTGTCACCTCGCCTGTCACCTCCCCTGTCACCTCCCCTGTCACATCACCTGTCACTTCAACTGTCACCTCGCCTGTTACCTCACCTGTCACTTCACCTGTCACTTCACCTGTCACCTAACCTGTCACTTCAACTGTCAACTCCCCTGTTACCTCACCTGTCACTTCAACTGTCACTTCATCTGTCACCTAACCTGTCACTTCAACTGTCACTTCAACTGTCACCTCCCCTGTCACTTCACCTGTCACCTCTCCTGTCACTTCAACTGTCACCTCCCCTGTCACTTCAACTGTCACCCCCCCTGTTATCTCACCTGTCACTTCACCTGTCAGCTCGCCTGTCACCTCCCATGTCACCTCGCCTGTCACCCCCCCCCCCTCTGTCACCCCACCTGTCACCTCACCTGTCACTTCACCTGTCACCTCGCCTGTCACCTCACCTGTCACTTCACCTGTCACCTTGCTTGTCACCTCACCTGTTCCAAGGGGATGATGAAATGATGAGAAAACTCACATTACCGACAGACACTAATCTCGCAAAACACTTATCAAACGTCATGATGTATCTGCGTATAATTACAAACACCAATGTTCCCCTCTGGCGTATATTAAACACAATTCAGTCATAAAATACATGTACATACATCTGTACACGTTTTCCAGTGATTGATATTATGAACAGCGATCTTCACCGTCGGTGTAAACTGCCACGCTATCAACCACGTCACCGGGCCTGACCACCCGGTCCATTAAGACGCCTCAGCCGACCAGCATAGGTTGCTAGAGACATGTTCTAGGTCTGTATCGCCACGGCGGTTTCCTATTCAATCATATACATAAATACTATCAATAACTGTCCCGCCATGTTAGGGTTATTGATGGTTCACTGACAGAAATGCCCTTACAAAATATCGCACATACACTTTCAGCCAGGATTGATTTTGAGCTAGTAGCAAGCCATCATTCAAGAGGTGACATAAACGCGGTAAATATAAGTGGACTAATAAAAGTCGGAAACAACTTTCCTTGATCGTTTCATGTAATGTATTTCTTCTCATAACAAATTGCTCTAGGACATTGAGACATCATCAGCATTAAAAGATACCCAAGATCGATTGCCGTCATTACTGCGCCGAATGTGGTTCCAGCCAAGCCAGCAATTACACGAGCTGGTTCCTCAAGACACCCACAGTAAATTCCGCTATCTAAATAACCAGCTGGGCCCTAACCCGATAAGAGATCGGGTCTTTAATTGCAAACATTGGACGTAAATCAGGAAGTAACGTTTGTATGTGCCAACGAGGACAACAAAAGGAAGATGATATTGTGTAAATGTGGCGGGGTTGCCCTGGATGTGTTGTGGTGCGCGTCGTTCTGTGATGCTCCTTAGTCTTCAAGATCAGTCTAATGTCCTGCCGACTCGTAGAAAGTCGGTAATTTATTGTTGAGGTAGTTGGGTAAGTTCTGGAATTGGTTTCCTGGAAGAGGTGGAGCAAAGGAGATGGCCGTCGACATTAGTTATTTTTCTTAATGGCAGCCAGTGGAACTATGGGCTGTTCAAAGGAATCCACTTCTCTACTTTCTAGTGTCAATATAGCATGTCTAAGGCGAATAAATGATGGCGTACACGCTTTAGTCATGGATGTAATTGCAACCATGAGAGCTCAGACGTGCAGGGATACTCAGTAGGGCACCAACAGCCGCCCCTTCAGCAGCTGTATCAACACCATCGGTTCATCACAATAATAAACATACCTATCATCATCATCAGGGTATGTAGCCCAGCGTGCCGTTGTAAACAGGGATATTAGCGCTAAGGTATGATCGTAACTCCCATACTTTACCGACCCCTGAAGATCCGGGGTAGAATAGGTCTTCATCAACCCATGCTTGCCGTAAAAGGCGACTATGCTTGTCGTAAGAGGCAAATAACGGGATCTGGTGGTCAGGCTCGCTGACATAGTGAATGCATGTCATCGTATTCCAATAGCGTGGGTCGATGCTAATGATGTCAGTCACTAGATTGTCCGGACTCGATTATTTATAGACCGCCTTCATATAGCTGAAATATTGCAGACTGCAGCGTTAAACAACAAACGTACTTTACCATAATTTCACGGTCTTCGTAGCGTTGAGGTTGTTTTGTTCAACGGCATCCAGCAGTGGAGATTGATCTCACGATGAAGTCACTGCTTCGAATCACCATATAGGTAAATTACAATCTTCCTCTGTGATATTCCTGGAACATTGTAACTATCATCGTATAACTTAATTCAGAATCAGAATAATTATAACAATCAGCTTCTCTATCCGAGATAGTGTTGTTGTTGACTCTTTGTCACTTTAATAAGTTACTATACAAATATATAAATAACCTCAAACATGGAAACGGGTGGCCGTGTCGTTAAAGGAGTCGCAATTCGCTGTGCAGAGTTGCGTCCCTTCTGCACTCCAGAAACCTGTGATTGTGGGTTCGAATCAGAATCATATCCGTATCATATGTACCGGTACAAAACAGGTCACGGATGTATCAGTGAAAGTGACCTTCAGTAAAAGGTGTAACGCCCAGCCCCATTAATCCAAGGCGTGGGTTTGGGACATCGTGCGGCCATACGTCCAGAGCAGCACCCAGCCCCATTAATCCAAGGCGTGGGTTTGGGACATCGTGCGGCCATACGTCCAGAGCAGCACCCAGCTCCATTAATCAAAGGCGTGGGTTTGGGACATCGTGCGGCCATACGTCCAGAGCAGCACCCAGCTCCATTCATATGCCTGTGAGTTATAGGAGCCGACAGCGGCTGCTCCCCGACCTGAACTTGGCCAAAATGTAATGAGAGGGCTGGACTGGTGTTACTATCGCAGACTAATTTCGACAGGGCGAGACCCAGCGTACTGACCGCGAGATGGCCACTTTGAATTTAGAGTAGGTCATTGACAGGTCTATATGTGGTTAGTGTAGTCACAATTGACGCTCTGGGTAAATATACGTGGTGATTAACTTGGTCGTAATGTTCCATTGTTGCACACCCTTTTGTATTTATCATCAGCTGGCTGAATACAAAAGACGGGTTGCGAAATATATTTTCCAACTGAATCTAAAGTATCGTATCTCGTATCGTGCTGTCGAATGGAACTCAGTACTGATATACGGCTGTAGTGTACTTGGTAAAAGAGAGAGGTTCGCTGTTACACTGAGTATAAGATTGTTCTATCTGTATCCAAGGATGACATATCATATCTGACGACTTATTAATATGTTTGTGGTATTGTACATCATGGGATATTGGATACTGTAGACGTTTCTTCAAATGTCACACGACATGTTATAGATAGAAGGTCTCCCAAATGATTTGTAGAAATTCTCCACAACCCCCTCTACTTAGTGCATTAATGTGCTATATATACACCAGTAATCAGTAAATTGAAGCAATATCAGGTTCCAAATGAAACTCTATGATAAGCATGAAAAAGGTTTGTGCTATTAATATTAATATTTATATCATAATGGTTCTACTCAACATTTAAGACAGGATTGTCATGACTTAAGACCTAATAATAAACATTTGCAGATAAAGTGCTGTAATAAGTAACCCAGTAAGAAGCACAACGGTTTTATGGTTATTGATCCAACAACCTTACTTTTACCTGTTGCTATGATATCCATGTTCCAAGCTGGTGGTGACAATATAATGTTAATGCATAATTGATAAGTACATGACAAATTGCAATAGAATCGTGGGTTGTTTAGATAAATAATTACTTCATACATATTACATAAGTTAAGTTTTATGTTAGACATTTAAAAATAGATACTTTAGCAATTGTTAGCAATTTAGCTTTTGTTGCTCAAATTGTTTATTAAGTATTATGGGGGGAGTGGTAGCTTAGTGGTTAAAGCGTTTGCTCGTCACATGGGTACAATGTGTGAAGCCCATTTCTGGTGTCCCCCGCCGTGATATTGCTGGAAT